CTACCTTTACCGAACAACTACCATAACCGCCACAACTCCAAATAACTGCACAACTACCTTTACGCAAAAACTACCATTACCGCACAACTTACCTTACCGCACAACTACCATTACCCACAACTACCTTTCCGAAAACTACCATTACGCACAACTACCATTACCGAAAAACTACCTTACCGCACACTACCATTACCGCACAACTACCTTTACCGCACACTACCATTACCGCAAAACCCTACCTTACCGAACAACTACCATTACCGCACAACTACCATTCCGAACAACTACCATTACCGCACAACTACCATAACCGCACAACTACCATACCGCACAACTACCATTTACCGCACAAACTCCCATACCGGCACAACTACCTTTCCCACCCCACATAACACCACACACACAAAACCCCACCTCACCACAGCCACCACATCACCACATCACATCACACACCAACATCACATCACACACCACTAACCCACATCACCAGCCACCACCAGATCAAAAACACCACCATACATAATCACCCACCACATCACACAACCACATACATCACACAACCCACCATCCAATCACACAACCCCACAACATCACACAACCACCACACTCACACAAACCATCACTTCACACAAACCTCCCCACATGACACAACCACCATCACATGACACAACCATTCACACAACCACCATCAAATAAACAAAACCACCATCACATCACACAACCCCACATCACACAACCATCATTACGCCCCTTCTACCACACCACCATTACTAATACCATAACCACACTACTTCTGCCAGTGCCCCATTACCAACGCCAGCACCACAGCTACCACCACTACCATAACTAATCCCCTACTACAACTACCATCACACAAACACAATAGCCACACTACTATAGCCACAAAAAACCCCACCATAAAAATTTAAACTACCACCACCACAACTACCACTTTTACCACTCTTTCATCCGTGGATGACGTTTGAAACTTACCTTCTAACCGCTACTAGACTGCTTACCACATTTTCTTCTGAATATGCAGTACAAGTCAACGAGACGCATGGCTGCTGTCATGCATCATCCAGCCGACGACAGAGCCTCCACAGCTGAACACAAGCCAGTCCCCTGGGGCACGTAATAACGACTTTTAAAAATTAACTTCTTAGGTACGATGGGCCGGGTTTTTGATGACTGTGACACAGAACCTTTTTGGGTTTTTAATTAGAGTTCATGGCTGTGTCGTCCAGCTCACAGCCTACTGCTTCACCGAGTCCAGTATTGTAGTACTGTGTCATGCCTTAAACTGCTGGGCAGTGCACGTAATATTAATATTTTACACGTTCACATCCAGTATGAAGGCAATTTTTCTTTACATGACCATACATAACTAAATCCGGTTTACAGGACTATTTATCAGTGTCATCAAGTCACTTTGTGTATCAACGACAGTCACACTAAGATTCATCATTACGAAAGTGTCACCCAAGTCACAGTGACATACCAACGTGTATTACCAGACGTTGTTGAAAGGGTTAAATGATAGTTACAAAGGGTTAAATAATACTTAAAAAAGGTTAAACGATACTTACAAAGGGTTAAACGATACTTACAAAGTTAGTTAACAGGTTTTTCAGTGCGTTTAACTGTCGTTATCAATGTAACTTTGAAATAAGTCATTAATTGCAAGTTAGTGTTACTAAAATTGTAATTCTTAAGTTCTCCATTGTCCTAAGTTGCTGTGTCATTATGCCATACAATAAGTATTAACGTCAGCTATTATCTTTATTGAGTATTACCGTAAAGATTGTTTAACAAAGTTATTAATATTGATAACCCCTCTCCCCCCCTCTCCCCTCTAGCTCACTTCTTACTAACCTGTTGAAGTCTCTCTTTTACTCTCCCTAACATATTTATAGTACACAGCATTATTTTTTTTATTAACTCATCGGCAGTTTCCCACCAAGGCACGGTGGCTCACAAAAAAGAAAAAGCTTTCATCATTCACTCCATCACTGTCTTACCAGAGGCTTGCTTACACTACAGTTTTTAAACTGCAACATTAACACCCCTCCTTCAGAATGCAGGCACTCTACTTCCCACCTCCAGGACTCAAGTCCAGCCTGCCGATTTCCTTGGATTCCTTCATAAATGTTACCTTGCACATACTCCAACAACACGTCAAGTCCTAAAAGCCATTTGTCTCCATTCGCTACTACCTAACATGCTCACGCATGCTTGATGGAAGTCCAAGCTCCTCGCACAGAAAACCTCCTTTACCCCCTCCCTCCAGCCTTTCCTAGGCCAACCCCTATCCCGCCTTTCCCTCCACTACAGATTTATACACTCTCGAAGTCATTCTATTTCGTTCCATCCTCTCTACAGTCCGAACCACCTCAACCCTTCCCCAGCCCCTGGATAACAGTTTTGGTAAACCCGCACCTCCTCCTAATCTCCAAACTGCGGATCTCTGCATTATAATTCACACCACACATTGCCTCAGACATGAAACCTCCTCTGCCTCCAGCCTTCTCCTTGTTGCAACATTCACCACCTATGCTTTACACTCTATAAGAGTGTTGGTATAACTATTCTCATTCATTCCCCTCTTTGCTTCCTGGACAAAGTTCTTTGTCTCCACAAACTCCTCATGCACCACTCATATTTTTCCCCTCGTCAGTTCTGTGATTCACCTCATCTTTCAATGGCCCATCTGGTGACAACGCCCACTCCCAAATATCTGAATACATTCACCTCCTCCATACTCTCTTCCTCCAATCTGATATTTCCCTCTTTTGTTACCTAATTTTTTTTGTTATCCTCATCACCTTAAACCTTTCCTATATTCACTTTTAATTTTCCTTCTTTTGCATACCCCACCAAACTCATCCACCAACCTCTGCAACTTCTCTCAAAGTCTCCAAAGTACAGTGCCATCAGCAAAGAGCAACTGTTGACAACTCCCACTTTGTGTTAGATTCTTTTTCTTTTTAAATCCACACCTCTTATGAGTGGAACGTTGGTTAAAATATTAGTTGTGTGTGAGGTGAAACATGGGTGTAAGTATTAGCTGAAATGAGAAAATGCCTTAAAAAATTTTTTTAAGTTTTCTTCATACTTAAAACTTGAAGGATAAGTAAGATAAGATACAGTCGGGTAATATTAGATAAACTGGATAAGATACATATGTTGTATTATTTATTATTATAATCATTACCGAGTGGTAAACCGACAAGGGGCATACAGAGCTGAGTGTATGTATGTGGTGTTGATACTTGTATTATTTACGTTGTTACTAAAACTGTTGGGTTAGGTGAAAGGGGAGTTTTTGCAAGAAAGGGATAAAAAAAACCCACAATATGAAAGTTAAGACACATGTGCAACATCTGGATATCTTTATTGTAGACGTTTCGCCATCCAGTGGCTTTATCAATACAGATTCTAGGACATAATAGGAAGACAGTAGAACTATATACAAAAGATGAGGTAATCAGTCCCTGGGCCCTTGGGGTTAGTGTTCACAGCAACGTGTGGAGGAGAAGGAGTTGTTAGCCGTGTTAGAATATTGCAAAAGTTATTGCAGTGTGGAGGTAATGTTCACGTTGATCTGACATGTTTTACATGTATAAATTTTTATAATAATGATTACGTTATTTTTACATTATATGTAAGTAGTTTTTTTAAATAATTAAAGTGTTTGTTAAACTTGCTGTGTAGTTGATGTAATGTTTATTTTTGGTATGGTTATTATGATGGTAAACACTTGAAGTTAGTGTGTTAACAGAGGAAAGCTTACTTTTAGTAATGGAGGTTTTATTTATAAGACAGATGGAAGCTTCTGGGTAATCTCATTACCGAAATATTTCTGATGCAAGACGGGGTTTTTTTTTCCGCCCAATAAAGAAAAGTAAAACAGAAACAGTAAAAAATCACTTCGTCGTCAGGTAGGAGGTGGTCAGTCCCCATGCATAAGCATGCTGCCACGTTATATGCTAGAGTAGAAGCGAGATGAAGCAGCTGGAGGTGATTCACAGGTGAGCGTGGCCCACAGTGCAAGTAGGTCATACTGAATATCCGCTATTTAAAAGGGGTTGTATTTAAAGGTTTTCAAAACCGACAAATTGAAGATTGAGACATTTATGCAACAATGGGAATCGTTATTAAATAAGCGTTTCCCATATGTTGCACAAGTGCCTCGATCTTCAGTAAAGAATTTGCAAACGATATCCCCTGTACCAAGATACCATGGTGTTGTTTGTGTCAGACATGTATCATACCGACAAGTCGATGGTTATTTCATGTGCAGCTGACATAGATTTTGTCTTAGTGGGACCGACCACCTCCTACCATGACTCGGACTGACTGTCTTCAGTATTATATTCGTCTGCATTGTCAAGAAAGCCTGCTGGCAGGCGAAATGTTTCAGCAGTAAACATAACGAAGTATTACACACCCTTTTCGAAATTTACGACGCATCGGTAACGTTCGGTACTTAACTCCCCGTCAAACATGTAAATTTCTGTCCAATGTTTCCGACATCTTAGTACTTCCGTGTGTTTCAGTTGTTTCAGTTTAATGTAGATGAACGTCTTAGAAACCGACAAGTTGATAAATTAGACACATGTACAACACTTGCCACCAGTGGCTTCATCAGTCCATACAAAGGGGAATGGTGAAGAAAAGGGGAGTCTGAGGTAATCAGTCCCTCAGCCTTTCCTCATTAAAGATACCCAATTGTTGCACATGTGTCAAATTTATAATTTTTTTCAGCAGATACTCAGAATAGTCGCCAAATAAATATTCCAGCAAGCTAGGCATTCACCTATTTAAAGTGTGTAGATTCTCTTGCGGACGTATCCCCTTTAAAAAAAATCAACAATAATTTTAACGTATTAAAACTTTTGTTTTTATCTATTCATGATACTACTTATTTTTAAATTCTATTATTTTTCCTTTATTTGTTGCACTAATTGTGTGTTAATTCCAGCAAACTGTTGTTGCAGGCGTGGCGGAGGTGGCCTCTTCACCTCAGATGTTGCCAGACTTTACTCAGTATCTAGACAATAATAACATTACCTACAATAGTGTCTTGGATAACCTCGCCAGGTGAGTGTGACCAGCCCAGGTGAGTGTGACCAGCCCAGGTGAGTGTGACCAGCCCGGTGAGTGTGACCAGGCCCAGGGAGTGTGACCACGCCCAGGTGAGTGTGACCAGGCCCAGGGGAGTGTGACCAGGCCCAGGTGTGTATGACCAGCCCCAGGTGAGTGTGACAGCCCAGGTGAGTGTGACCAGGCCGGTGAGTGTGACCAGGCCCCGGTGAGTGTGACCAGGCCCAGGTGAGTGTGACCAGGCCCAGGTTTAGGGGTGACCAGGCCCAGGTGAAGGTGTGACGAGGCCCAGGTGTGTATGACCAGGCCCCCAAATGTGTATGACCAAGGCCCAAGTGTGTATGACCCGGCCCAGGTGTGTATGACAGGCCCAGGTGTGTATGACCAGGCCCAATGTGTATGACCAGGCCCAGGTGTGTATGACCAGGCCCAGGTGAATGTGACCAGGCCCAGGTGAATGTGACCAGGCCCAAGTATATGTGACAAAGCCCAGGTGAGTGGTGACCAGGCCCAGGTGAATGTGACCAGGCCCAGGAGTGTGTGACAAGGCCCAGGTGTGTATGACCAGGCCCAGGAGTGTATAACCAGGCCCAGGTGTGTATGACCAAGCCCAGGTGTGTATGACCAGGCCCAGGTGTGTATGACCAGGCCCAGGTGTGTATGACCAGCCCAGGGGTGGATGACCAGGCCCAGGTGTGTTGACCAGGCCCAGGTGTGTAATGACCAGGCCAGGTGTTTTATGACCAGGCCCAGGGTGAATGACCAAGGCCCAGGTGTGTATGACCAGGCCCCCGGTTGTTATGACCAGGCCCAGGTGTGATGACCAGCCCAGGTGTGTATGACCAGGCCCAGGTGGGGTATGAACCAGGCCCCCGGTGAATGGAAACCCGGCCCAGGTGAATGTGACCAGGCCCAGGTATGTGTGACAAAGCCCAGGTGAGTGTGACCAGGCTAGGTGAGGTGTGCCAGGCCCAGGTATGGGTGACAAAGCCAGTGAGTGACGAAGGCCAGGTGAATGTGACCAGGGCCCCGGAGTGTGAGACAAGGCCAGGTGAGGGTGACCAGGCCGGTGAATGTGACCAGGCCCGGTGAATGTGACCAGGCCCAGGAGTGTGGACAAGGCCCAGTGTGTATGGACCAGGCCCAAGTGAATTGACCAGGCCAGGAGGTGTGCAAGGCCAGGTAGTGTGCCCGGCCAGGTGGGAAGTGACCAGGCCCCCCGGTGAATGTGACCCAGGCCCAGGTGAAAAGTGAACAGCCCAGGTGAGTGTGACCAGGCCCGGAGTGGTGTGCAATGCCCAGGTGTGTATTACCAGGCCAGTGTGTATGCCAGCCAGGTGATGGGGGACCCCCCCAGGGATGTGTGACAAAGCCCAAGTGAGTGTGACCAGGCCCATGAAAGTGACCAAGGCCCAGGAGTGTGAGACAAGGCCCAGTGAGTGTGACCAAGGGCCCAGGTGAATGTGACCAGGCCCAGGTGAATGTGACCAGGCCCAGAGTGTGAGACAAGGCCCAGGTGTAATGACCAGGCCCAAGGGAAATGTGACCAGGCCCAGGAGTGTGTGACAAGGCCCAGGTGAGGTTGACAGGCCAGGTGAATGTGACCAGGCCCAGGTGAAGTGACCAGGCCCAGGTGAATGTGACCCAGGCGAGATGAGTGTGAAAGGCCCCGGTAAGTAGACCAGACCCAGGGTGGTGACAAGGCCCAAGGGTGTGAAACAGGCCCCGGTGAATGTGACGGTCGGGTGTTTGGGAAAGGGGTGGGGGGGTTTTGGACCAGGGGGCCCGGAATGTGCCCGGCCCAATGGTTTTTCAGGCCCAGGGGTTTTTAAAAACCCAAAAAGTTTTACCACCCCCCAAAAAACGGGCCCCGGGTGAACCCGAGTGGATCAGTGCCCAGATGATGGACAGGCCCATGAGTGTGATCAGCCCAGTGAGTGTGATCAGGCCCAGGTGAGTGTGACCGGGCTCAGGTGAGTATGACCAGGCCCAGGTGAGGTGAGGCTATTAATGCTAGGTGAGTGAGAGGATATTAGTGTTAGGTGAGTGTGAGGATATTAGACCATACCCCCGGCCGGGATTGAACCCGCGGTCATAGAGTCTCAAAACTCCAGCCCGTCGCGCTAGCCACTAGACCAGCTAGCCACAATAAGATTCATCCAACTAGGTATATTTCTACACCATAGGAAAAGTTAGCACAGGCACCTCTGTGACCACAATGCAAGTTTTTACAGACGAATCTCCAGCTAGCGTGGCCGTGACGAACTCTAGCTCAAGTCCCTTCACTGCCGTCAACATGACTTAAGAAATCGTAATGACACGATTGCAAATAAACCATACCCCCGGCCGGGATTGAACCCGCGGTCATAGAGTCTCAAAACTCAGCCCGTCGCGCTAGCCACTAGACCAGCTAGCCACAATAAGATTCATCCAACTAGGTATATTTCTACACCATAGGAAAGTTAGCACAGGCACCTCTGTGACCACCAAATGCAAGTTTTTACAGACGAATCTCCAGCTAGCGTGGCCGTGACGAACTCTAGCTCAAGTCCCTTCACTGCCGTCAACATGACTTAAGAAATCGTAATGACACGATTGCAAATAAACCATACCCCCGGCCGGGATTGAACCCGCGGTCATAGAGTCTCAAAACTCCAGCCCGTCGCGCTAGCCACTAGACCAGCTAGCCACAATAAGATTCATCCAACTAGGTATATTTCTACACCAATAGGAAAGTTAGCACAGGCACCTCTGTGACCACAAATGCAAGTTTTTACAGACGAATCTAATTAACTTTCCTATGGTGTAGAAATATACCTAGTTGGATGAATCTTATTGTGGCTAGCTGGTCTAGTGGCTAGCGCGACGGGCTGGAGTTTTGAGACTCTATGACCGCGGGTTCAATCCCGGCCGGGGGTATGGTTTATTTGCAATCGTGTCATTACGATTTCTTAAGTCATGTTGACGGCAGTGAAGGGACTTGAGCTAGAGTTCGTCACGGCCACGCTAGCTGGAGATTCGTCTGTAAAAACTTGCATTTGTGGTCACAGAGGTGCCTGTGCTAACTTTCCTATGGTGTAGAAATATACCTAGTTGGATGAATCTTATTGTGGCTAGCTGGTCTAGTGGCTAGCGCGACGGGCTGGAGTTTTGAGACTCTATGACCGCGGGTTCAATCCCGGCCGGGGGTATGGTTTATTTGCAATCGTGTCATTACGATTTCTTAAGTCGTGAGGATATTAGTGCTGGTGAGTGAGGATGTTAGTGCTGGTGAGTGAGGATGTTAGTGCTGGTGAGTGAGGATGTTAGTGCTGGTGAGTGAGGATGTTAGTGCTGGTGAGTGAGGGTGTTAGTGCTGGTGAGTGAGGATGTTTTGTGCTGGTGAGTGAGGATGTTAGTGCTGGTGAGTGAGGATGTTAGTGCTGGTGAGTGAGGATGTTTAGTGCTGGTGAGTGAGGATGTTTGTGCTGGGTGAGTGAGGATGTTAGTGCTGGTGAGTGAGGATGTTAGTGCTGGTGAGTGAGGATGTTAGTGCTGGTGAGTGAGGATATTAGTGCTGGTGAGTGAGGATGTTAGTGCTGGTGAGGAGGATGTTAGTGCTGGTGAGTGAGGATGTTAGTGCTGGTGAGTGAGGATGTTGGTGCTGGTGAGTGAGGATGTTAAGTGCTAGTGAGTGAGGATGTTAGTGCTGGTGAGTGAGGATGTTAGTGCTGTGAGTGAGGATTTAGTGCTGGTGAGTGAGGATGTTAGTGTGGTGAGTGAGGATGTTAGTGCTAGTGAGTGAGGATGTTTAGTGCTGGTGAGTGAGGATGTTAGTGCTGGTGAGTGAGGATGTTAGTGCTGGTGATGAGGATGTTAGTGCTAGTGAGTGAGGATGTTAGTGCTGGTGAGTGAGGATGTTAGTGCTGTGAGTGAGGATGTTAGTGCTGGTGAGTGAGGATGTTAGTGCTAGTGAGTGAGGATGTTTAGTGCTGGTGAGTGAGGATGTTAGTGCTGGTGAGTGAGGATGTTAGTGCTGGTGAGTGAGGATGTTAGTGCTGGTGAGTGAGGATGTTAGTGCTGGTGAGTGAGGATGTTAGTGCTGGTGAGTGAGGATGTTAGTAGTGGTGAGTGAGGATGTTAGTGTTGGTGAGTGAGGATGTTAGTGGTGGTGAGTGAGGATGTTAGTGCTGGTGAGTGAGGATGTTAGTGCTGGTGAGTGAGGATGTTTAGTGCTGGTGAGTGAGGATGTTAGTGCTAGTGAGTGAGGATGTTAGTGCTGGTGAGTGAGGATGTTAGTGCTGGTGAGTGAGGATGTAGTGCTGGTGAGTGAGGATGTTAGTGCTGGTGAGTGAGGATGTTAGTTCTGTGAGTGAGGATGTTAGTGCTGGTGAGTGAGGATGTTAGTGCTGGTGAGTGAGGATGTTAGTGCTGGTGAGTGAGGATGTTTAGTGCTGGTGAGTGAGGATGTTAGTGCTGGTGAGTGAGGATGTTAGTGCTGGTGAGTGAGGATGTTAGTGCTGGTGAGTGAGGATGTTAGTGCTGGTGAGTGAGGATGTTAGTGCTGGTGAGTGAGGATGTTAGTGCTGGTGAGTGAGGATGTTAGTGCTGGTGAGTGAGATGTTAGTGCTGGTGAGTGAGGATGTTAGTGCTAGTGAGTGAGGATGTTAGTGCTAGTGAGTGAGGATGTTAGTGCTGGTGAGTGAGGATGTTAGTGCTGGTGAGTGAGGATGTTAGTGCATGTGAGGATGTTAGTGCTGGTGAGTGAGATGTTAGTGCTGGTGAGTGAGGATGTTAGTGCTAGTGAGTGAGGATGTTAGTGCTGGTGAGTGGAGGATGTTAGTGCTGGTGAGTGAGGATGTTAGTGCTAGTGAGTGAGGATGTTAGTGCTAGTGAGTGAGGATGTTAGTGCTGGTGAGTGAGGATGTTAGTGCTGGTGAGTGAGGATGTTAGTGCTGGTGAGTGAGGATGTTAGTGCTGGTGAGTGAGGATGTTAGTGCTGTGAGTGAGGATGTTAG